TCCGACCCCCACCACCCATTTTCATCCTGTGCTACGACTCTCCCTCCCCTTCTCCGAACGGCGAGAAAATGCAATCCTCCTCTCCCAGCGACGAACAAATGAGACCCCATCCCCACTGGAACTGAAAGTGGAACAGGAAAAATCATCTATCAAAAAAAGTTTTCTCATACCAAACACGACCCCGCTCCCTCCGTCCAGTGACCAAGTAGGAACTCCTTCCCCGCTGGGGTTCCCTAACGTTCCCGTATCGTAAGTACCATTCGGCCGTGACTCTGTATCGCATTCCCAAGAGGCTGAGGCTTAGAGCGCAGACAACCAGAGTCGGTAAGGAATGGTGCTGCAGGGAAGACCGTCTTGTTCGCAGCGAATGCTGGGGCGTGCCAGGAGGGCTGGGTTTGGCGCGGTTCAGTCTGTCCTCCGCTGATTATGGAAGAGGGCAATACACAATGTGAAAAATGGGCTGGGGCTGGCGCGCTAAAGTGACGCTCCCTGATACTCCCGAGTAATCGCAGCTGACAACACCGAAATCTCTACTGAGCCTATGCCTTGATTAAGGGAAGAGATACGTAGGAGCTGGTCGAGTGGTCCCCTCTCCTCCTCCAGCTACGTTAGCAGCACAACGACTGTAATATGAGAACTATATCCATTTTATGGAACAAGTGCTGTTGGTGCAATCTGAACTGTGGAAATCGTCTGTTGAATTCTGTCCGCTATAGTTTGCTGTTCCGCTGCTAAATCACGAACAAATCAGTGGCTTTGTGTGTTGCTGATGCTCATTTCACTTATTGCTTTTCGTTGCGCATTCGTAATGTCTTCGCTTTTCGTCAGCACTGCATCACAGCAAGCACTCTGTAAGACATCAGCGACTTCACCTGGCGTGCACCTTGATATTTCCAATGGTAATGCTGCTGGAAACTGCACTTGCCACAGTCGCTAGCTTTTTTACCGTAATAAACTTTTCAGGGAACGTAAACACGCTTGAACGCGCAGCTTTTTTTGCATTCAAGTTACTTTAAATTTCAATCAGGTTGGAAGGGAGGTTCTTCGACGAAATTTCCATTATTCAAGAATATATCATATAAGTTTGTTGAAGGAAGAAAGGATAACGCCTTCGCTGTTGACCTAATCGGTCTTCTGGGTACGGAACGCACTCTAGTTCCAATCAGAATCGTAGTGAATGCTATAAAGCCTATAGAATGACTTGCAGAGGGGCAGTTCAGCGACGAGGGGTGGGGCATTTTGCACTTCGCTACTTCACTGTTCCTATTTACAAGTCTCACTATGTTGAAATCTGTGAACTGTGGTGAAGCTGGAGCAAGCTCGTCGACTCAACATGGTAAAATCGGGAGACGGGCAAGAGAATCGCAAATTGCCGCTTCGTCGCGCGCGGCAATGGGCGCGACGTTTCCTTTTTACTACCCTTTCGATTGGAGCATCGGATTTCATGTAGACAAGGACATGGTAGACACTTATGTCTATTTTTGGTCATACATTGTCTATTCTCGACCAATACCACCTAAAATCGTCGTCATTAGCGGGCGCGACGTCGCACGCGACGCCCACTGGCGCGGCGAATTACGATTCTCTTGTCACATACCCGGTACAATCTGTCAACTCTTGTAAACTTATGAAATGGCTCTACAGATGGCTCGGCTCATCAATGGGAAGTAGCAACAGTGCAAAATGCCCCCTCCTCGCCAGTCCCAGAAGAATATGGAACTAGTTCACCATCCCCCGAGGGTGGAAGGCTGCGTGGCCACACCTCCTCTCCC